TGTCTGATAAAGTTTTTCAAAGTGTCAAAGTTTTCGATAAAGTTTTTCAAAGTGTCAGATTTTTCGATGAAGTTTTTTGAAGTATCAAAGTTTCCGATAAAGTTTTTCAAAGTGTCAAAGTTTTCGCCAACGTTTTCAAAGTGTCAAAGTTTTCGCCAAAGTTTTTCAAAGTGTCAAAGTTATAAATATAGTAAATCAAAGTTTTCAAAGTGTCAAATTTATAACTATAGTTAACTATAGTAAACTATAGTTAACTATAGTATTTTTTGGTTAGTGACAAAACAAAAATTTGCACTATGGATATCTAACACAAAAATGCAACTATACAATACGAGGGTTGTTAGAAAAGCTCGAGGACAAGTTCTACTGTGGACGCGCTATTTCAATAAAACCGGTTAAACTCCCCAAATAAAAACTTTACCTATTTTCCAATAAATATACAAAGATATTGGTATCTACCGGTGATCCTTAAAGAAAAGATGGGTATTATATTTTAATAAAACATGCTTTACGGAGCATGTTTCGTTTTTGCACGTTTACAATACATCAATGTTTAATTGATATTAAAAATTGTACAGTTGTAGAGCAAAAAGATTAATGATATTTTAACTGTTGCTACAGTATTCATGAAACGTCACTTGGTCAAATTTTGAATTAAATTGGTGAGTATCTGACTGTGTTATATCAAATTATAAATAATAAGCGCGTAAAAACAAAGTCAAAAAGGGGAACGTCATTGAACGTCATGGAGCACCGTGCTACTAAATATAATGTGTGCAGACATGAAAATGTCTAAAAAGAAAATAAAATGCTATTAGATACAGCTGAAAATTGTATCAACCTACAAAGGACAAAAGTATTCAAAAGGAAGTAGCTTTATAAGAATGGAAGGATTAACATTTTAAATGATCAACCCTTGCAATATCTCAATACCCAACTTATTGCATGGACTATGTATTTTTGCAGTTGATTTCATACCTGATCGCTTAACTGTATTTTAAGTTCTCGCTAAAATCTTAAATCGCACAAAAGACAATAAAGAATAAAAGTAATATGTCTTGATATAGATATTATATTTTTAAGTAGCAAAGATTGAAATATATTAAGAACTATGAAAAAGCTTAGCGGGCTTGAAATCTGATTGTCACGTCACATAACGTTAAATGATTGCTCCGTGAATCCTATGACGGCAAAGTAAAACTCTTTGTAAATTTTCAAAATTTAAATTAACGGACCTGATTTTTTTTCATACAAATAAACGAAAGATAGGAATTCAATCAGACATAGGTCACACTTCACAGTACACAATACATTTTCCGTTAATCAATGTGTCCGCGAACTTTTCTAACAACCCCTGTACTGATGCGAAATATGAAAATTTACAGCTCATTTTTTTAGAAGTTAGGAAATTTTATGAAAAGTGTACCATTTACCCCAATTTCCTTTATATAATTATTTAATTTTTTTTACTAAGTAAAAAATGAATAATTTTTGAGAGTCTTCTTTCCATGATTTCATTCTTATATAGAAGAAAACCTCATTGATTTTCTGAAGTTAGTAGGATAACACTTATTTAAAGTGTGCCAATGCTAGTTTTATAATTTGCTTAATGATGATTCTAGCAGATCACTCAGCTTTGTTTGTGTTCTGGTGGTTTTTTTTTGTTAGTTGGCCTCATAAATTAAAGAACTGCTCTTCGCATATATCCGGGCACAGAACCGTTGATCCTTAGGTCGTGTAAATTCTCACAACTTCGGCGTCCAAAAATACCTCAATAACTTAAAAAGAATCAATTCAAAATATTTCTACATTGAGTTTTAATCGCTAATTTTATTCAAATGGAGCGTATTGTGAACTTTTCTTCTCACAGCTCCATCAAGTTCGGAATTCCACTCCGTGAAAAATGTCCGTTAGACTCCGTGAATTCATCGTTATTTAATATCTAATAAGCCCATGTCCAATAGAAAAAAATACTGCTTCGGTTACTGAGGGCAGGGCTGACTGTCCTTGCTTCTACATAAAACTTGATAAAAGCAGAATCCAGATCACTCGGTTCAAAGATTCAAAATTGGGAGAGATTTCATACACCTGTATATTCTGCGAAAGATCTTGGTTGCCATTTTCTTTAAATTCTGCTGATCTACAAAACTAACACTATGTGGCAGGTGGAGATATTTAAGTTGCAAATTTTGTAGAATCCTCAGTGTATCTCCATCTTTTATCTTTCAAAAAAATAATCAAATATGTCGTCAAGCAAATCAAGTCTCACATTTTTTTGGAAGGCGTATTTATAGGTCTGCTGTAGACCAGGCCAAACTCTGTTTAAGGTGGGGAATTATATTGAACGATAAAAATAAGTAAAATTAGTTGCGCTATTCGGGAGTTCACGATCTTCTCTGGTCTAGTAAAAAAAAATCTTATATACACCTTAAAGGACAAGAGCAGGTAAATACATATTCCTATTTTTCTAATATTATTCTAACTCACCAGTCAGAGAGATAGGTGTATGATATACATGTATCATGCTTGATAGTATTTAAGACTAGACCAATAGAATTAATGAATGATAATAGAAATGCTAGTACCGTATGCAAAAATAAGGAACAATTAATTTTATCTCAGTCATATTTAAGATGCAATTTTATATAGTTCTGTAGTAAACAGCTGCAGAAACAAATTGGCAGTATTTTGTTCCTAAATTATTTCTTTTTAAATCTAATAAGAATATACATGTACCATTTAAAAATATATTTAAAAAACAAACAAATAAAACAAGTATCTCTTAGGTGAACAAGAGATGTTTGTAAAACATTTATGCCCCCCTCCCCAAATAATTGAAATGTTTCTAAGTCCAAGGGGCATAACTCCGTCAAAATAGTCTGATCGTACCCAAAACAAATTTTTACCTAGATATCCTTCGGATAAATTTGTATACCAAATTTCGTGTCAGTACTTTATTCAACAGGGTGGGGGGGGGGGGGGGGGGATAATTACCATGATGGCAATAAGATAAGGGATGTTGAAAATGCGAAACAAGGTAATATACTGTAAAAGTCTTACCTAGACATTCTGCTGCAACAGTGAAGAACACAAGGAAAATTAGTAAAATAATAGTGTAATCCTTCATCCTCTCCATATTTACTTGTTACTCGTGACACAGAATGCAACCTGTTTTAAATACTTCAAATAATTAAAAAAAAGGCGAAGAACAAGGAAATATGTCATTCAACAACCTGTAATTATCTGATATTTGAAACAAGGAAAACATTGAAACTTTTTATTACAAATCAGTCTAACCTGAAGTAGACAGTCAGTAGCGTGGATCGGTAGTTTACCCACAATGCGTATCCTTCCTTACCATGACAAGTATTGCTTTTGAAACAGATGGTAATCAGTGGTTAATGTATTCCAAAACTATGCAACTGTAAAAACTTCCTATTAGACAGTATGTTTCTTCAATCAGATGGCTCTATTCATAAACGAGTAAGGAAGTTCCAATTCAGTTACTACAGTATCCTTATAAGTACAGACCCTAAATCTGTTATATACTTTGTTAAGTTTTCTATACACAAAATCTTTCACCATATTGTCTAAAAGGAAAAATAGTACAGTGATGATAAACAATGATGTGTACAGTGATGATAAACAATAATCCTCGGAGGTTCTATTTATTCAATATATTACTGGTTACTCTGTACAAATTTTAGTAGGTGTTGTAAACTGTAAAAGATTACGGGTAAATTGTTTGATTACAGTAAAAACACTGTGTATCTTGAAACCTTCCATTCTCGTCCATTTCAGTGGGTTTTTTTCATATCATTTAAAATTTCACTATTCTTTTGCACATGAAATAAAAAAAGCCGTTTGGGTTTATCATTCTATAAGCAATTAGATTGATGTGAAAAATATAACGTGATAAAAATAACAAATTAAAACAATCTAAACTTATTAATGAATATCCTAGAGAAATCTTTGTTTAAGTAAGGAAGAATAGATGTATGGGAACAAATTTAATCATATATAACACAGAAGATAGAATATTCCAATGTTGATTAGCATTAACTTTGATTCAATGTAATTTCTTCATATAATATTTCAAAAGCGGTCTGACGTAAAACATGTATGCGGTTTACGTACATGTAACATTAGGCCTAGCAACTAAAAAGAAAAGAAAATTCGAGAAAATAAATGCAATAGATATTTATATCTTATTGAATATTGAAATACAGGTCATAGAAAGCAATTTATTGTCACTATATAACGAACTTCTTATAAACACAGGTGTTAACGAGCTTAAGTAACGCCATGATGAGTTCAGTGAACTATTTGTCTCCAGAGATTTCATCATTATTGTAGAGGTACATTTCCTGATAATAAGAACTGTCCGACTGGGGAGTTATCTTTTGATATGTTTGATCGATTATCTTTTCAGCTGCATGTATTTGATCGTAAAGCTTTCCAGGCATGATTTCTGCTGTGTCTCTCCCTGTATTCTGGTGTCTCCGTTTAATTTTCTTGTATACAAGCCTTACCACTGCGTATATAAGGATTACAACAGCAAGTGTTGAAACAATGTATATGATTCCAGTTGAAGCATTTGAAATGCCACTATCTGTAACAAGAAATATGCAGTATTCCATTCATTAAATGATATAATGCATTAACAGAGAAATTTGCAAAGTGAACAATGGCGTTAAATTGAATTGTCAAAAAATATGTACATATTTGTATTATAGTTTGTGTTATTTAGACATTTTGTCATTAACAAAACTGCATTAGAAATATATGATAATTTGTGTTCGTTTCTATATAACGGCTTCAATGTAAACTTTTATATTTGTATTTGTATTTGATGAGATAAAAAACGAATAAAGCTACTTGCATCTTAGCATTTTGATTTTTATAAGCAATATATATAAGTGCCTGTAATATACAATGTACATGTATTCTTATAAATTGTGTCATATTCATTTATTAGTTAATATATGAGCTGTGATTACCTAAACACTTTGAGTTATTCCAATTACCCCGACATCCATCTGGACAGACTCCACTTGTCTTGTTACAGAAGGTACCGATTTTACAAAATCCACATATCTGTATACAGTCTGTTCCGTAAAATCCATTTTTGCATTCTACAAAATAATTCCTTTTTTGGAGAAATAAATAGTTTTAATAAATGTTTTGATTATATCAACTTAATTCCTGCTGTTTGTGACATTTAATGAATGAAATATAAAGATATCTGCGAGCGAATATTCACTAGTAACATGTATAACCACGCTCTGCAAGTGAATAATGCATTATTCCATCATAAGATAAGCTCTCAAGGTGACCAGACGTGTTTTAAGTGCTCCTCCTTATCAGTAATTACCTATGCTGCTAATCATTGTAAATAATGGAATCGATTAATCTGAATGAAAATACAAGTTTGTTCAAATCTACTTTGGATACTTTTGGATTTTCATTTTCACACGGGAAATCCAATGCTGCTGATGAAAATTCTTTAATTGATCTATCGGATTTCTTACAAGTGAAATTCAACCAACAAAGTATCACCTTGAACTATGATGAAGATAGGACTGAAGACATCGTGACCACTCTAAACAGTGAACTTTTGTTTACCAAAACTGGTTTCAAAAACGGACGTATTTATAAATCAGAAAATGGCAATGTTACAGCAACACTTTACAAATCAACTCAGACAATCCATATTCAAGGGAGTGAGAGATTCACCTGGCTACGAGAATTCATTGGACAAATTCCTCACCTGCCAATAACCGAGGTTAGTAAAATTGAAGGGATGCTACAGCCACAAAATACCTCCACCCCTAAACCTTGTAAACTGCAAGATATAGAAAGCGGGCCATGTCAAAACTGTAACAGCTCTCAAATTATTCAAAAACTGACAAAGTCTCTTACTGATCTTTCTGAGATAGTTGCCAGACTGAAAAGGGAGTTGCATTCTCTTCGGAACAAAAACACTCAATCAGTAGATGCAACTACTCAAACAAGGGAACCACCTAGAAAAACCAAAGCCATTGATACGCGGGACATTAAGGATAATCATCTACAAGGCGTATCAAGACATACTCAGTGTACTAAAGTTGAGACAAGGGAATTCTCAACTTCTACAGAAACCTTGCCAGCCCAAAAAGAACAGAAAACCTTCAACAGACCGAAAAAGAACCATAACCTGACGACCGATGTTCCATCTGGAAAATCTGTTCTAATAATAGGAAGCTCGATCCTACAGCGAATCCGTACCCGTGGATTGCTGAAAAATGTTGCAGTCCGTACAAACAGAGGGGCTCGGCTGTCCGATATTAGACGGATTCTTCAGGGAATTGATCTAACACCATTCCAGTCAATCGTCATCCTTGCCGGTGGAAATGATGCTTCCAGCAATAGAGATATTGAGACAAGTGAATGTGATCTCACCGAAATTGTGCTTGATATCCAAAGGAGATCGCCATGCACCGAAATTTATATCTCGGAGATACCACCACGAAGAGATACAAGTGTTTCCCAAATAAATGAAATCATCAAATTTGTTTGTGAGGAATACAGTGTAAATTTTATCTCACTCCGAAATATGTTCCAATCTTCGGATCTGTTCTGGAAGGATGGGATTCATTTATCCGACAGGGGAACATCAACACTTCTGAAAGCGTATGATGCTCATGTTCGGACAATTAAAACGCGTTGTTCAAATGACACACAAAATATACCTGGAAATATGAATGTGTGTTTCTACTGTGGTGAATCTGGCCATTCCTCCCAGAATTGTCGGCACGGATTTAAAATCGTCTGCTGGAACTGCCGCTCCCCAGGTCACAAAGCAAAACACTGTTCGTATTAGGAATTCGGCAAAGAAGAAAATGCCGAATAATCTACCCTCTTAAATTCAAACCCCTTTAGTGTTTTAAACAATCTCTGCGCCGAATGTGATGAAAAATCATGCAAATGTTCTTATATCTGTAGTGCACGCAATATCAAAGATCAATCAGTAGGATCAGATGTAGCTAAAAATTTTATGTCTCCTTCACAGTCAGTCAGTAACTGTAATGTAAATCCTGTCAAAAAAGTATTTCATGTGAAACCATGTACATCCTCCATTACTAAATCACAAAAACAAATTCCTAATTCAACAATTTCTACAAATATTGACCAATCACAAAAGGGAAAATTAAATAAATATTTAAACAATTTCGAAGTCGTCAAGAAAGGTCTTAGATTTGGGAATCTAAACATATGTCACATCATGCCAAAAATTGACCAACTTAAAATTCTTTTATCAGGATATCGCTCTATGGATGTATTTGGTATCTGTGAAACATTTTTAAATGAGCAAACAGACAACTGTGTGTTAGATATTGAAGGATTTAATTTTGAAAGAAAAGATAGATTATTGAAATCAGGAGGAGGATTAATGGTCTATGTTTCCAATAATTTACATTACAAACGTAGAAATGATTTTGAAATAGGTAACATTGAATCAATATGGCTTGAAATTAATATCCCAAATTCAAAACCAATTTTTTATTGTACCACATATAGGCCCCCATCTGCCACCACCTGCTGGGTAGAAAGTCTAACACGGGAGATAAATTGTGCATCCCGCTGTGACGATGCTGAAATTATTTTAACAGGTGACTTTAACATCGATCTGATTAAAGACCCCCCAAGATACTGGACCTCTGCTTTTGAAGAGTGTGACTTCACACAGCTAATTAATGTACCTACACGAATAACAAACACCTCATCAACTCTTATTGACTATATTTATACGACCCTACCAGAAAACATATGTGAATCTGCAGTACCACCAATTGCGATATCTGACCATTATCCTGTCTGTTTTACGAGAAAATTAAATAATAACATCAACAAATTCAAACACACAGAAATAACATACAGAGACTTTAAACGATTTAATGAAAATAATTTTCTTGCAGACTTAAAAGAGGTAAATTTCCAATCATTGGAATCATTCTCAGACCCTAATGAAGCACTCAACAAATTTTATTCACTTTTTAATGCTGTATTAGATAAACACGCAAAAGTAAAAACAAAAAGAGTTAAGCACGACACAAGACCTAAATGGTTAACTCAAGAAATTCTGCAAGCTCAACACATGCGTGATAACCTCCATAAAAATAAAGACTTTGAAAATTTCAAAATATGGCGCAATAAAGTCACATGACTAATTGAAAACGCCAAGGTTAATTATTATAAAACAGCTATAGAACTAAACAAAAATCCAAAACAAATGTGGGATGTATTAAACAGTTAAGCTTCTAAATCTCGTAATTATATTCCAGCTGCACTTGCTAAAAATAATTATATCAAAGAGGATACACAAGAAATAGTAGAATTGTTTAATTCTCATTTTTCAAATATTTCTGCAGAACTTCTTTCAGGCATAAATAAGGAGGAAAATGACTTTACAAATCTTTTAGATTTTGTTAAGTCTAAGTTAGGTGCAGACAAGTTTTCTATCCCGCTCATAAATCATGACGAAGTACTAACCTTACTCAATAAACTAGATATAAGTAAATCTTCAGGTGTTGATACCATCGGGCCACGTCTATTGAAACTTACTTCACAAATAATATATAAACCTGTGACCCATATTATAAATACTAGTATCATAACTGGTATTTTCCCCGAGAGTTTTAAACTTGCAAAAGTTACCCCAGTCTTTAAAAAAGGAAACAGATTAGACCCAAATAATTATAGGCCTATTTCTATTTTACCAACATTATCAAAAATTATTGAAAAACATGTGGCAAAATAAATACGATCTCTTTTTTCGGATTTTGATCTTATAATAGATTCTCAATCAGGCTTCAGAGAACTGCATTCTTGCCAAACAGCCCTTACAAAAATTACCGATGAATGGTTAAATGAAATGGACCAAGGTAAACTTGTTTGTACTGTTTTTCTTGATTTCAGTGAAGCTTTTGACCTTGTCAATCATGATATTCTACTTAAAAAACTACAATGTTATAACTTTGATGCAATAACTTTACAATGGTTCAGATCATACTTATGTGAGAGACTTCAAAGTGTCCATCTGTCCAACAAACATTCATCTTATCAGCAAGTCACAGCGGGAGTTCCACAGGGATCTATACTAGGTCCTCTTTTGTTTTTATTTTACATTAATGATCTTCCTTTGTGTATTACAAAATCCAAATTAGAATTATTTGCAGATGATGCCACTTAACATGCATCAAGTAAAGATTGTCAAACTATTGTAGATACATTATCAACGGATATAGCTTTTATAGAAAAATGGTGTTCTCAAAATCAAAAGGTTCTAAATGCTACAAAAACCAAATGCATGTTAGTTGGTACACATCAAAAGAGATCAATTTTTTCTGAGCATGAAATTAATCTATTTGTATCAAACAAAAAACTTGATATTGTATCAAATGAACAAATTCTTGGAGTTTATTTAGATAATTCTTTACAATACAATGTACATATTGACCATGTTTGTAAAACACTGTCACGTAAAATTTCTGCCCTCCGTAGAATTAAAAAGTTTCTTCCTATTCAAACACGCAAGCTATTTTACAATGCATATATCATGCCTTCAATTGATTATTGTCTAACTATTTGGGGCAATACATCTCACTCAAATCTTGACAGAGTATATAAGCTTCAAAAACGCGCTGCAAGATGTATTTTAGATGCTCCTCCTGATGCGCCCTCACAACCTCTCTTTGAGAAACTAGAATGGCTCACAGTGTATGAGCAACTTATTGTAAATAAATATGTTTTGTTATATAAATCATTGTTTAACTCTCACCCTACTTCTTTAAATAGTATGTTTAACTTCCAGTGTAATAATCAATACAATCTTCGATCAGAATCTAATTTAGACTTGTGTGTACCAGCTCGTAACTGTAAACTCTTTGAGAACTCCTTTCAATACTCTGGTGCTACCTTATGGAATAATTTACCTGTACATATAAAAATGTCTCAAACACTGAATGCTTTCAAACATCAAGTCAAAATATTTGTAAAACAATGTCGAAAAAACTTATGATTATTTATTTGATTGTGTATATTTGTATATGTATGTATATTGATTTTTATCTACAGAAGGCCTCGGGGAAGAATAGTGCGTGCACTAATCGGGCTACTAGTGTTGTTACGATAGTTGCCGACTATCGAAAAATCGTCGTTAAAAGGCCCAGGTCGGCGACAATCGATTGTAAATATTATTATCGATAGATCGCTATATTTTTCATGTCGTATTTTTTAAGCCGATCAGGTTCAACTTTTATATTCACCAAAGGGAAGTCACTCTAATCGGCGGTAAACAAAATGGCAAACGTGCATGGTGAAGAGGTTGATGCCTAATTATATCAATATCCTGGTGCAATACGATCTAAAGTTCGAAATTTTTTGGCTTTCTGAAAAAGGGCGATGGGCCTCCATGCAAAAATAATATACAGATGGACTCGATTATTTGTAAATTGTGTAAAATGTCGTCTGCCAATAAAGATAAGTTGAAGTTCGCGGTCAAATGTCATGGAATTCTACTCGTGCTGAATTAATAAATTTAACCTTTTTAATAGTTCAAATTATCGATTATGTAATCGATTGTGTTCTTCCGATTCAATTTGATAATCGATAGTAAAATATGTCCGATTTTACAACACTACGGGCTACCTTCTTTAAATAAAGTATTATTATTAAGGTCTTCCGTCTTCACGGAAGACCTTATAGTGATTCTACTGTTTCTTATTATTATTATTAATTTTCTTGACAAAAATTTGTGCAGGCGATTTCTCGAAAACTATTCGGCGGTTTTCGATGAAACTTTCACAAAATATGAGTCATAATATGATCTTTGTTCATCACAAACAAAATTTGGAAAATTCGCTTCTGGTGCCAAGTTATGGACAATTTCCTGATTTTAAAATGCGATTTTGTCGCGCACTTTTATCGAAAATGGCTGAGGATATGAACTGGAGACTTATTGGAGATGATAGATCATGACTTTGTGCTTTGCAGAATTGCTTTTTCGTGCGTCGTCAGTACTTCCGGTCGTTACGAGATGCAAATTTAAAAAAAGCGTTTTTTCTAACTTTTTTGTTTTTCAACATTTTTCATTTATTTTTGGTATTTTAATAGAAACCCTTCTTATTATGCTTACTATATAATTTGTTTGAATGCTGATAAATCTAAACTCTAGATATTAGCATTCAAAAATCTGAAGCGGGCCCAAAATGGCGGCTGTCTCAGTCAACGCCGACATTTCGCAGTAGTGGTTTATGGAGGCAGCCGAGCGTTTGCTTGAACGAAAGTAACATAAGGATAAATGAAATGTAAAGGAATACTTGGATTAGCACGTCGTAGTTACGTTGCAATTCTGTGTCAAACTAACGTCTTCTTTAATTGGTTTTGGCTGGTTCTCAAAGTAGAAAAAGAAAAGACTAAATGTGAAAATGAAATTCGATACCTAATATTCTTGTGCACCACGGAAAAAAAGATCTTAAATCATACTTATAAATAATAATTTCTCAAAAAGAAAATCAATTATATCAGTATCAATATCAAGTATAAATCTTAACCACTGCTTTTTATGCACACTTGTGTCATCTTAAACTTATAAATAAAAAACAAATAATAAGAAAGCGATTTTTTTAAAGATCGCTTCATGTATTTTATTTTAGCATTTTTGTCTCAAAGACCTGATTCAAGTTGAGCATAAATGATATCTGATTCCTTGACCGTCGTACCTGTAAGGCGAGCCATGTCTTTCGGCAAAACGTTTCAACCTTTTTTTTCGATTAACTAATTGGGATAGTTCACTTTGGGGATAAACAGGAAATTGAAAAAAAGGTTAAAAATTTATAACCGTTTCATCGCTTTACATGCATATATACTAAATGAAATTTGTATTTATGTTAAATATACTTTCTAAACTTCGAAACGTAGACTTTAAGAACGTTCTTTTTTTTTTTAATTTCATTGAAGCTATCACACCTATTTAATAGAACATTCCAAAGAAAAGGTGCGAAGATTAACTCGTGGCGTTTGGCGCTAAATTTTGAAGAGTGACCCGCCTTTGATAATTTTAAGAGAGAAGTATATACAAGTGGATTTAGAGTACATGTCCCAATAACGTAATATTTAGAGCGTTGGAATTTCATGCTGGCGTCTTGCGTTCAAACTCCACTTGTGTGCAAATGTTTTTTTTTTACATATATATATATCTTCAGCTCCATTTTACGTTTTCTTTCCGGAATCGGGCGGAAGACCTCTCGTTGCTCGCAACGAGCTCATATCTAGTTATTATTATTATTATTAATATTCACTCTCATGTGAATAAACACATACACCAATAAATTCAACCATAAGCAATGCTGAGACAAAACGTATGCTAAAATTTTAACTGCAAAGTTAATTTGGAAGAGTAAAAACACAGATTATCAGTAGGAAGACATTAGATGTGGACAAAAATTAATTCCTTCATATGACATGCTTTGTACACAAAGAATGTGTTTAAAGGACTTTATTCGGTAATGAAGAATATTTGCCGCCAAAATTAAACTTATAAGTATGCTATAAAACAGGGAGGTATCTGCTGCAGACTTCAAAGCACTTATTATTTTCATAATCCATGACAATATATGATTTACATGACGTCAGAAAAATGAAGTAAATTTAAAATTTCCAGGATTTCTACAGAAAAATGTGTATATCACATCGAAAGTAGGAATGAGTCAACGAGCGCGGGACTGCTACATTAAGGATTTGGAGATAACGAACAACATTCAATATCGAAGTCCCTAAAACAATACAAAACAGGAGCAGAGCAAATACGGACCTCCAAGATATCACAGGTGGGATCAGGTGCCATGGAGGAGTGAACATCACATGCTGACCGGTCACACCCACTGTGTGCTCCCTCTCATCATCGGAAAATAACGGAAAAATTGTATGTCAATTTAGTGTATAAATAATAGGCTAACAGTTGATATGCAACAAGTTATTCAGCATTTGTCCCAATGATAAATTTTATATGCTGACAAAGTCATTGTATCGATCACAGAATTTACAAAATGATGACTTTATACGAGACTGTTGATTTTTTGTTTCATCAACTTGCCAATCAATAATTTACCTCGTTTTAGAAATTGTTCATACGTAAAGCATGCTCATGAACAATTTGATATAATGCTTAGCATGATAATATCAATGTAATACATATATGGAAATGCTGTTCTGAAGCAGGCCTGTGCTCTGTTCATTTTGTAGTAAAAGTTGAGCAAATTATGCCCATTTTTTTCTTTTTCTGCAAAAAATGAAACGAAGTCCGAATAGTTTGTGACGTCACAAAAACAGAAATTGTCAATATCCTGCTTTGAAACTACAAGATTTTGTGTTAAATTTAATTTCTTGTAAAGTATATAAAATTTCATTTTTTTTCCTTGTAAATACATATAAGTGAACGATATAAAATAATCCACAAAAATTCATAACTTTTAAGATTGCATCAACGCGGAACCACGGAAATTAGGCTCAAGGAAATTATAGTTATAATTATAAGCATTACATACAAAAACTATATTGTTATAAACATTATCGGCTGGAAACATATCATATTGTTTTAAGGAATCTTCCTTGTTCTGTGATTATCTCCGAGTTTGTCAAAACGGAGAGATATAAGCTCGATTCTAGAAATTGAATTAGAAATATATAATTCATGACGAAACTAGACATTGGGCTCTTATTCAGCTTTCAGTATTGAGAATTATGTAAACGAAATATTTGATAAATGAAAATATCTGTGGGATGGAAATATCTTTTTCGATTTTCTTATTATCCTGCATATGACTGATGTGCAAAGGTTTTACTTTTAGACACCCAGACCTACATCTTAGATTGTTACTCAACTTACTGTTGTGGCGAATCACAATCACACGGAAATCTTCTTTTTATAATTTATTATTAAATTTGACGATTAAAGGCAATAACAAATCCACAAGGGTTAACAATCAAAATACCACATTGGCTAAGATAATCAGATGGTTTCTGATATGTATTCAATATTTCTTCAATGTAAACTCAATACAAAATCGATAAACTCAATAGTAGTCAAGATCACAAAAACTCTCATATATAGTATCGAAGAAACATCTAGAAATAGAAACTTCGATAAAATTCTAGATCATCACATTCTTAAATATTCTAGAGACTTCTTGATAATTAATTTACGAAACATTTAGAACATTCTAGATTATACCTGTACATCATTCAATTTCTAGAAAATACATTAAAATTGCGACAATTCGCAACACTCCCAAGACCAAGGAAAGTTAATCATTAATTTAATTGTTCCTTTATCAGTTTTGTCGCTCTTTCAGCGGCCTGTCTTTTTGCTCTAGGTAACGGAGGAATACCATCGACTGCTGGCTCTTCCTTTGTCATATCACTATCACCAAGGTCAGATTTATCGGTGCATTCTATGGGATAAAGTAAATTTAACGGTCGGTTTAATGTTCTTTTGTTAGGTAACATTACCTTTCCGGACCTGTATTGTCCATCTTGACTCATTGTCAAATCGCAAATTCTTCCAATCTTCCAGCTTCCTCTAGGGAGATCTTCTTTGATGAGGACAAAATCACCAATTTGTACCGGCCTGTTGTCTTGAATCCGTTTTCCTTTTAATTTATAGGATGTTCTTTCTCTTAGATTTAAAAGATACTCATCTCTCCATGTCTTCCAGAATGTATCTAAAAGTCGTTGACCTTTCTTCCAAATTGCCAATAAAGTGTTTACAGAGCTTGCAACAGGTACATAGTCTGGGTCCATGGGATCAAAATTTTCACTATCTTGAAATCCTATTTTTGGATTCAAAGTGAGGAAATGCGCTGGAGTTAGGGTGATGTTTGAATTAATATCGTCTCCAATATAGACTAAGGGCCTAGAATTCACGACTGCCTCAGCTTCTGCAAGCATCGTTCTCATTTGCTCATTTGTTAAACAGAGTTTTCCTATAGTTTTTCTTAAGCATCGTTTGACAAAACCAACCAGACGTTCATAAAATCCTCCCATCCATGGTGCCAGTTCTACAATAAATTGCCACTGAATCTCTTCATTTGCAATATAACTTTGGACATCACTATCAGACGTAACTCTTTCCCAACTCTTATCCAAAAGCAGGCTTGCATGTTTGAATTGAGCACCATTATCAGAGATAATTTGTTTTGGCTTGTCCCAACGCGCAATAAATCTCCTTAGTCCTAGTAGAAACTGTTCTGTGGACATATCCTGCATGAGTTCAAGATGTATGGCCCTTACTACCAAGCAGGTAAATAGAGAGACCCATACCTTTTTATTGCCAGTTTCTGTTTTGATGAAGATTGGTCCAAAGTAATCCACTCCCATGTATGTAAATGGTGCTGATTCACTCACACGTTTCTTTGGTAGTGCAGGCATCAGTGGCATCTTGTAAGGACCACCATCAAACCGCTTACAGATTGTGCATTTATGAAGTATTCGTTTTACTTCTGCTCTTCCCTTTGGAATCCAGTAATCTTGACAAACCAATGACAGTGTTTGGGAGACTCCGACATGAAATGGTTTTTTATGGATGTATTCAATAATTAGCCCCGTCACATGGTTCTTTCTTGGAAGGAGGATGGGAGTTCTTGCTCCTTCTGACAGCTGAGCATCCTTGAGTCTTCCAACACAGATGATTCCTTCCTGATCCAATACAACTCCTAATTGACTAATTAGATTATTTCTTTTCTTGTCTTTGAGTGCTGTTTTGATATCACCATAGTTTTGAGCTTGGATACTCTTTATCACAAGAATTTTAGCATTCTGTAGTTCTGAGTAAGTTAGATGACTCCAAGACATTGGAATTTTCTTGACTCTTTTGATAAACCTAAGAGTCCATGCTAAAACTCGAATAAGGTTTATAAATGATGAAAACTTTTGGTAGTTAATGATGTTTGGATATCCAGTTGAGTCAGAATCTGAGTTGTTTTTTCTTCCGTTAGGACTCTCCCCAGCCACCAGTTTCGCTTCATAAACAATCTTTGGAGTCTTGCATTCTGATTCTATGACACTCTGCATTTCTTTACAGGTTTGTTGACTGTTCCATGAAGGCCAATTGTCTTTCCCTTTAAGGTCAAGATCTAGTAAATGAAAGGTGCCACAGATTTATCAAACTTGAGAAATAAATTCCTTTATTGATGCTTTACAACTTTAGCTTGGTCAAATAAGGTGTTTCGAGGCATAATTTGTAGGTAAACAAGGTGAAAAACTGTATTTTAAACTGTCATTTTCAATGAAAAATTCAGAAAACCAGTCATGAATTTGGGAGTTTTTTTCATATGCGACAAAGGAAATGTATCCAGTTTGCCTACAGTCTCTCAGAAAACGGTAATTAGTATGTTCATGGCCTCTTCTTTAAATTAATATCAAATTTAATATAGGTATCCGGTTTACTTTTCGTATGATTTCAAATTGAATGTCATGAAAATACCCTTTTTTCTACATAATTCTGCTAAAGTCGTAAAGTACGGGAAAAAGAAAGTTGAAATTGATTATGACGTCATAATTGATCTAGCTCCAAAAAATTAGTCTCAAGTTATTTACTAGATCTTGACCTTAAGTAACCATTCTGGACCATTCCACCATTGTTCAAATTCTTGAAGAATTTTAACTGTCGTTCCTCTGCTTGCAATATCAGCTGGATTATCCTTTGTAGACACACATTGAAAAGTGATATCTTTGTTGTTTCTGATTTCTTTTACTCTGTTTTCCACAAAAGTTTTAAGAGGTTTCTTCATTCTTATCCAATGTAATACACATTGGGAATCGGTCCAAAGGATCTTTTCTGTGACAGGTAACTTCAGTTGTTGTTCAACAAAGTTAATGCATCGGACTCCAATGACAACAGCCAATAGTTCCAATCTAGGCAGTGTTATTTTCTTGAGTGGCACTAATCGAGTTTTTGAAAACAGCAGGTTGACAGTACTTCTTTCTTTGTTGCTCTGGTGTAAATAGACCGCACAGGCATATGCTTTAGTTGATGCATCGCAAAAGTACATTAGATTATATGTCACTGTACCAGGAAGTCCAATAAAACGAAGAATAGGGACATTTGGAATATAATCCAGATCTGTGGATATATTTTCCCAGTGTTGAATGTCTTCTTTGGTCAGTTCTTCATCCCACTCTTTCCTTTGGTTCCATAAAGTTTGTAGAAACAACTTTGTTCTCAAAGTAACTGGGGTGAAGAATCCAAGTGGATCAAATACAGAAGCAATTCTTTGAAGGACTTTCCTCTTAGTGATAGGTGGAATCTGAGTTTCATCTCTTGAACTGTTTATGAATAGGGAGTCCTCAGAAAGTTTCCAAGACAAACCAAGAATTTTTATGGTTTCTCTGTTTGCTTGATCAGCTTCAGGAATACACTTGTTAAATTCTTTGGAGTTAGATGCCCAGTCTCGTAAATTCATTGACATGGTACTGAAGATCTCTTTAGCCTCTGTATATAGTTTCCTAGCCTCTGAGACGGACCCTACACCAGTGATAACATTATCTACGTAGATATTACTTCTTATGTTTTCAGCTGTTGCAGTGTTGTAGTTTCCAAGATGGTAATCTTAAGTTGCGGCCAATAGGAAAGGGCTTGATATAACTCCAAATGGGACTCTCGTAAATCTATAAACTTGAATATTGTTTTCTGTGGATGGAGTCTCAATATCCTTTAACCAGAAGAATCTTGTCACATCTCTGTCCTTTCCTTGTAATTCAATCTGTAGAAATGCGTTTTCTATGTCAGCAATAATTGCAATCCTTTTCATTCTAAATCTCAACAACAGTCCACACAAATCATTTAGCATCACTGGTCCTCTGTAAAGACACTCGTTAAGGCTGTTACACTCTGGTTTGACCTTTGCCGATGCATCATAGACGATGCGAACTTTTGTGGTAGGCTTTGTTGGATCAATAACAGCATGATGGGGTATGTTGTGTTTGACACTATTCTTCACTTCACTGCTCTTTGTCACCTTTTCAATTATGCCTTGCTTGCACTGGCCCTGAATTATTCCATCATATTGCTGAAGCAGCTCAGGGTTCTTTTTTAGTTTTTGAAGTAGAGATTTCAGCCTTCCAAAGGCAAGTTCTCTGTTCTCTGGGAGTTCAGGTTGCTCATCCTTCCAGGGCCAAGTGACTTGATATCTACCATTGACTAGTTTTATTGTTTCGTTAAAGTTTTTTAAAGCCTTGTCATCATCTGATGAGTGGGGCTGATCTTTGATTCCAATAGTTTCCAAGTTCCAGTACTCGTCTAGTGATGGCTTCAAGGGCAAACATTCATCGACAGAGGAATGAAGACAATATTTCGTTGTTAGATTGTTTCCATTTACAATCAGCATTTGGTGTAAATTATCTCTGGATACCTCAAAGTTAGCTTGTGTTCGTGCAGTGAGAATCCACTTTTGATGAGAGCAAGTAAAGTCCATGGTCAACTTCATTTTTTTCTGATGATACCAAATCAAGATAATAGTCATTCCCAATAATGATGTCTATAGTTGAATTCTCTGTAGTTTTTGGTAAGGTATCTGCAAACTGTAGATGTTTCCATTGGCACTGTACCTTTTCAATGATGTTAGGTGGTAACGGTCTTCTGTGTATTGGTCCGGTTATTTGAGGCACAACATTTGCTTCAATTCTTAAGTAGTGTCCATCCTTCAATTTAATTCTTAAAGATACATTTGGAGTTTTTACTATTTTCGGTTTCGTGGATCCAAAGGTGACAAGTGATGTTTCCTCTGTTCTTTTCTTCTTCAAATTCAATCTTGAAGCTAATTCCTCCGTAACATACGTTCTTTGAGACCCAGAATCCATGAGAATTCTGATTGTTTTAACTCTCGATCCATTCAGATCTGACGCATCAATTTTTGCAGTTTGCATTAGGACAATACTACTTGACGACAGTAGGCTGTTTTCTCGAACATTGTTAACTGTTTCTGAGTCACACAGTTCAGATGATTCAACAAAGTTTGAGGTTTCTCTCAAAGGGAGCACGTTCTTGTTGCAGAGACTTCGATGATGTTTCTTTGTCTGATGGCAATGGAAACATGGTTTGTCGACTTTGCAGTCTTTGCTAAGATGACCTGGCCTAAGACAAATATAACATCTTCCCTTAATCTTCTGTTTTCTATCTTCAACTGTCCTGAATTCTTGGCATTCGTCACTCCAGTGATTTTGTTCACAGAAGATACAAATAGGATACTTTCTTTGAATTTGTTTCTTCTTGGAGATTCTTTAAATGATGTTGTTAAGGCTTCTGCAGATGTATGTTTTCTTTCATGTTCATATAGCATTATAGGTGATGGAGGTTTTCTAGCAGGTTGTTCTTCCTGACCGGCTAGGTTTTCCATATCTGTAGACTCTCTGGCTGCTATGTAGTTATCAAGAAATATCCTCAGCTTTAGCACAGTCCACTTCTCTTTCTTTCCTTTCTGTATTTCTAATTGTAATCTGGCTTCTTTTGGTAACTTCGTTATAATCATGGAAACAAAGACATCCTGGTTTACATCTTGTCCCAATGCTTCTAGGCTGCGCATATGCTTTTCTAAATCAAATAGTCTACGGAGACTGGAAGTATTATTAAGTGCAGGCTTAATGTTTATCAGGTCCACGTAATGTTTGTTGATTACAGACTGCACATCTCCGAATCGTTCCTTCAATATGGAGAGAGCTACATCATAATTTTCATGGGAGAGCATGAGGCCGGAAATAGCAGATTGTGCCTTTCCTTCCATTTTACTTTTCAAGTAGTTGAACTTCTCAACATTGGAAAGCCTTGTGTTTTTGTGTACTGAAGCTTCAAAGGAGTCCCAGAACTCTTTCCACTTTAATTTGTCTCCGTTGAATGAAGGGAGCTCAAACTTTGGTAGTTTAACTACTGGAGTTTCTTTCTCTTTGCATATCTTCTCTTTTCTGTGCAGTTCCTGAATTTGGAGTTCTTGGAAATGCATCAGTTGTTCCTGCATTTTTTGTCTGCAGATCTATCATGTGGTCGATTCGTGGGTCATTTGGTGCTTCAGTTTTCATATATGGTATGTCCGCTTGCTCCAATCTTTTTTCCAAAAGTAGAAGTTCTTCTGAGCGCTCTGTAACATCTGTGAGCAATTCAAACAACTTCTCACTGTCTTCTGTAAACTTTTCAATTTCAGACTCATTGTCTTGTTTTGCTTCCAAGGCAATGGAAAATTCTTTCATCGATTCTTCTAATTTAGCACCAAAGTCCTTTAACCGTCTCAAGGAAGATTGAATCTGCCTTATCCTGGTTGTCGTATCCTCTTCTTCATCTTCTGAAGAAAGAAATGTCTTACTTTTAACCATTTCCTTCAGCAGTAGATTCTTGTACCTTGTACCTTGTACCTTGTACAAAGTCCTTTCAAGTATGAGGTTGACATCTTCTTCGTTTCCGTGATAACTTCTTGATTTGCACCAAACAATGTGGCGAATCACAATCACACGGAAATCTTCTTTTTATAATTTATTATGACGATTAAAGACAATAACAAATCCACAAGGGTTAACAATCAAAATACCACATTGGCTAAGATAATCAGATGGTTTCTGATATGTATTCAATATTTCTTCAATGTAAACTCAATACAAAATCGATAAACTCAATAGAAATCAAGATCACAAAAACTCCCATATATATATAGTATCGAAGAAACATCTAGAAAAAGAAACTTCGATAAAATTCTAGATCATCACATTCTTAAATATTCTAGAGACTTCTTGATAATTAATTCACGAAACATTTAGAACATTCTAGATTATACCTGTACATCATTCAATTTCTAGAAAATACATTAAAATTGCTACAATTCGCAACAACTGTGTCAGGGTAGATGTCTTTAATACTTGTAGCTTATCGAAAACCTTGCACAAACATTATCAAATAAAATACTGCATGCCGAGCTGCGAAATATGCAAAGTAAACAATGGTGTTGAATTAAATTTAATTGCCAAAAGATTAAGAATATAAACCATAAAAATAAATCCCATTACCTTGACACTTAGAACCATTCCAATGATCTTCACACCCTTTTGGACACAGTCCTGTTATGTTATTACAGAAGGTCCCCGTGCTACATTTACCACAGTTGAATTCACAGGCTTCACCGTAAAATCCGTTTTTGCAATCTGATATTGAATATTGAATACAGCATTGAATATGTAAATGTACTTTCACAGTTTTGAGGATGGGGTATAAGGACTTAGTTATTATTTATATTTTAAATTAATTCAATGTCCTATATTAACATTTTGTCATTAAATACCCATGATTAGAGATTTATGACATTAAGTTGTTCGATTTTAAATATCAGTTTAACTGTAGACAAATTTTTATTGTACTTATATTGATGAAAAGTAAGAAACCTTTATGGTTCTTAGCTAATTAATAATAAGAAAACATATATGCGAGTGTCAAATGCTGACTGACGTTTTTCACACTTACTCTTATTCTATTATTTATACACTGAATTAATGACGGATTCTTCCGTTATTTTCCGATTATGACAAGGAGCACACGGCGGCTATGACCGGTTTACAGGGGATACTTACTCTTCCATGGCACCTGATCCCACCTCTGTTGTTTTGGAGGTCCGTGTTTCTTCTGGTCCTATTTTGTATTCTTTTATGGCTTTGATATTGAATAATGTCCGTTATCTCCATATCCTTCATACATTTAAATATTTGTTAGTATATTAACTTTTTTACCTAAACATTTTGAGTCTTTCCAATTGCCCTGACATCCATCTGGACAAATTCCACTTGTCTTATTACAGAACGTACCAACTGTACAGAATCCACATTTCTGTGTACAGTCTGTCCCATAAAATCCATTTTTGCATTCTACAAAATATATAACAAAAAATAACAATAACAAAAATATCAAGGAGTTCTTTTTCTTTTTTTTCAACAAACTTGTTGTTTGAGACATTAAATGAATAAAATACTTTGAAAAGATGTAATTTTAGTGTTTTTATATACGATTCCAAAATATGCTTTTAAAATTGTGCTATAGTTAAGTTAAGGTTACCACAGTTTAAGTATTGTTCACTATAGTTAAATAAAGTTTACTTTAGATAATTGTAAATATAGTTTACTATAGTTACATACAGCTTTAGTTTAGTGTAGTTAACCATAGTTTACTACACAGCTGTAATTATATATGATAAGTCAGAGTTTTCATTTCAGTAAATCAAAGCATTCTTGCAGGGATAAATTATTTTTTTTTATTAATTAAAAATTATTAATTTTCTTCTAATAAAAAGTATTCCTTGTATATTTCATATTTTGCTAATGAATATATCATTTGTAAATAATTTTACAAGTATTAAGGCTATAAACCTTCAACCAAAATCTAGATTAAAGTTTGATAGTAAATCATAGTGTCAAAGTATTTACTATTATTTCTCTACTGTAATTACTCTATATAAAATTAATACCAAGAAACTGTGTATTTCCCCGAGAAGAGAGTATTGCCCTCATCTGAAGACTACTCCCTTGAAAATCAGAGCTACTCCCTGGGACTACTCCCTCATGATATTTATAAGTAATTTTAACAAATCAAAGTGTACTTGGTTCTTGAGTAGAGGCATGGCAGGGATGTCCGCACACCAATGTTCTACCACAAGATGCAGGCTGCGATGTCCTCCCACCTGATCTTGCGCAGTAACAAGCAGGGATTACCGCACACTTGTTACTATCGGATGCCAATTCCAGAGTAGGGATGACCCCACACTTACCTCTTAATAAATAACTTTGAACAGTACAATATAAGCAGGGAAATCCGCAAATTTACATGTACACGCAAGGTTGTTTAAGGAATGTTTTTAAGTTTTGTATGAGTTATTGGTGTGTGAATCACACAGACTTGTCACGTAGGCATATTTCATGAAGCGCGCTAGCTATAGATGGATCTCATCACAATATAAAATACTTAGTGATTTTTTTATTTACAAACTAATTAAATATATTAATCAAGCTTTCTATCAACAAACTTTTATCAATCCATCTAAAGAAACATACAATGATTATACTTGATAGATTTAATTGGAACTCAACGCTTAACGACAATAACTTTCGCTTCAATGAAAAAAGAAGAAAACAGCTTTTCGCTTCAATATATTTCATAATAATGAACGTATTACGAGTAAAATATAATATAGGCTATAAAATGCAGTGTAATTTAAACACAGTCATAAATACATGTAACTAACTAGTCATAAGTTTTCCTGATTTATCGTTGTAAATTATATCGCACTTCTTCATTCGTTCATTTCTGTTTGTAAAAAAAACCTAAATTGTTCTCAAAATGCTATTTCGTGCGTATGTGTGTATTGGGGGTGGGTTCTTACTTTCAAGAAGTGTTTATGGCTGTGTATATGGGGGGGGGGGGAGGGGAGGCAACCGGTATCAAAATAAAGGTTTTCTGCTAAACAAACTAAACTCAGAAAAAGTACCCCTTCTTTTGCAGACTCACTCCTTTCCCTGAACCACTTATAGTGTTATGAATTATTTTTTTAATATTTGCTCACACGTTTATGTTGATCTTTTAATATTGTCACTTTTTCTAATCGTGTTCCTAAAAAATACAACCTGGAAAACACGACTAAGTCGTAAGTTACTTCGTATGTTTTCCTCGACTTTTCTCCCTTGACCGGAAACTCGGATGCAACAGGTGGCTTATTTGATTCAATCAAATAAAGAGGTTTAAATGCTAAGGTGTATTAAAAAAACTTACGTCATTATTTTTCTAAAGACTTTATTAATTAAATCATGGCCATTTGCTTCTGTAATAATATTATCTCATGGAATATTAATGATCTTTTTTAAATATTGATTAAAAAACATCACCAAGAAAAATCGCTCGCAAAGCTGTTAGAAAATAAATAATATATTACCATTAGTTTTTGTAAAGTGAGATCTCGAGAAAACCAAGATCTTAGAGGTATTTATTTGCCTGGGGGTGGTGGGTAGGGGTACTTGTCCCATTTTCAACAGACATAATATCCTGCCTGTCCTTTGATTTTAAATACCTGCCATAATTCTTTCATTAATTTAATAGTGAGATATGATCTAACAGGAGAAGCCAGCGAAAAAAATCTGACCCCGACTACCCCCACTCCTCCCTCCTGCAGACAATTAAGATTGATGATTCGTGCCTAAAAGAAATTAAATCTCTGTTGGTCTTTTGAACAAACAGAATGGAAAGAAATTGATGGGAACAAACGTATAAACACGCATGTAGAGTCAGTATGTCGAAGTCGTTTCTTGCAGAAAAAAGAGCCATAATTGTTCAATGGACAGGACATAAGCGGTCTTTTCCGGCAGTTGACGATGTTGTGCACTGCATGACTGCATCTATTCCAAAATCGAAAGTTTTCTGTAAAGTTCCTTTTCTCGTGGAATTTTTTAAATCATGTCACATATGAAATAAACCCTTTTACTTTGTTATGCTCCTGAGGATGAAACTTTAAAACATTTTTATAAGTCCGTTAAAAAGCCCTTCATGGATTTATGTCACAGTGTTTAACTTTATAATATATCAGGACGATTAAAGATCAATTTTCTTTTTAGAAATTACAAATGATATAGCATTAGATGTACTAGTATTTCCACGATCAAAACATTAAGTTTTTTTGAGCAATGGTAAATTATTCCCATTTTTTAAGATACGCTGAATAATTTTTTTTTCTCCAAATGAAATTTTATTGCTCGCATCGTTTAAATGAGGATTGAGAGTTTTTAAATTTCAAATTAGAATGTTCTATTTTCATTTTCTAATGACCAACACAAATAAAATACCTGTTTTATATTTCTTCCTACATATATTTTTTTTCAGTGGATGTTTCCTGTAATAAGAGACCAAAAATCGCGAAACTCGGAATAATGACGTAACGTCATAATCAGTTTTACTTGTGACGTAATTAGCTAACGGTGGCCCAAAACAGGCCCATGGCACTTAACGTTGTTTTTGAAAACAGGCCCAAAATAGGCCTGCGGCACAAAGAATATTAAATGTCGGCATGTCTGTTAAAAAAATCAACTCGCCTAAGATTGTTTCGGTATATTAAAACAGTTATGGAATGGGAACTGGGGGAATAGCAATTTTATGGTTCCCTTTGGCAGGAAACTATTTCCCTCACCGCATCTGGAAATAGTTTCCTCCCTTGGGGAACCATATAATTGTTATTTCCGTCGTGCCCATTCCATAAATGTATACTACTGTTAACTATGGTAAGTTATCTTTAACTATAGCAGTGAATGATATATACATAAACACGCATTTGAGTGTTAAATCAAAAATACTTCAGCTACTTCTGAAAGTTCCAAAAGGAGGCAACAATGAAATAGTAACAGATATTGACAAACGTCAACGGACGAGGACATTTGATTAAGCATCATTTTTGTATTGTTTCGATGGTGCTCAAAGTATATTGTTTTCTTAAAGGGAGAAAAAAAATAATTATGCGCAGAATATTAGAAAAAAATAATCTTAGTAATTTATAAAATCCTGTAATCCATCATACCTGAGCAATCCTCTGATTGAATGACATTGTCACTGCAGCCAGCAATACACGACCCATCAGAAATTTCACATTGTCCATTACGACATTTTGGATTACAGAGTGTGCAAATTTTCCCAAATTGTTTAGACTGGCAACCTAAAAACCATCAAAATCTGTTACAAAACTCATTGATATATTTAAAATACTCATCGGCCCAATAAAATGATTTCTAACTTATCTATCCGATTCTTTATAAAGCATTGAATTTACTTATGCACATTTCTCCCATTTAGTAAGAGCATTCATCTCCAAATTTTCAAATGTTCTAATAAATTGTTCATTGAAAGTACAACATACCCATCACCTTTATTTCACAAATCTCAATTGTTGCAAAGGAAGACTCATAACCTGGACATGTTGTAATAACGGGTTTGTACTTGGAATTATATAGAGCTATTCCTTGAGTCTCCTTGTTTATAGTTACATTCATAACTCTGTCAATACAAGTCTTTGTATCATGATTGAAAACTTGATGTTCAGAAGAATTTGATGGAGGAATATAAGAGGAGTCATTAAAAACAAACACAGAAAATCCAACATGTCGATTTGGAGCTGAAATTTATACAAAAATTATGGAATTAAATTGTGTAAAATCAAGTCATGAGTAATCAGTAATCATCCATTTTTCTGATTAGAAGTAATCGTTATTTAATCGATTACTCTGAAATAAAGTCCTGTTAACATGATTAATTTGGATGTCTATACAATTGAAATGATATAAAAAGTCTATCAATTCATAATATCTTTTATGACACTCAATTGTATGCTGTAAATAAATCAATTACTTTTTAAATATGATTAAAATCAATCTTATCTAATTTTTCTCCAAATTATTTGAGTTTTATCTGGTTTAGATCAGTTTTGATCATTTAAAAAAAAACTCATGTTCAGTTAAATTGCATAAATGTTATGTTTTGTAGTCTGTTCCTTTTTGTGTTTTTATACTGCGGAACATTTTTTACACTATACACTTATTTTCCTCGTTTGGTGAAGAAGTACCATAGCAGGTCTGTTAGTAAAACGTATTTTTAGTCCAAAGATTCCAAAACATATATATGAAAAGAAATATTTACTAAAACCTCGAAAATATATCTCTAAGTATGCCACGTTAGACATTTCTCTCAAAGGAAATTTCCACCAAGCTTCCATAAAATTGTGTCCTGCTATTGTAAAACTGCATGTGCTTTCGTCAACACCAACTTGTAAAAGTCCATCTACTGCTTTATCTGCATGGTGTCCACTATAATATGATGTACTCTGGGACAGAATGCCTTTAATTGAATCGATCTGACTCAGGTTTTCTATAAATAATAACAATAATAATGAAAAACAAATGAACTCTTTTAATGACTCCTTTGTCACAAGATTATATATTGTTTTATGCATCTACCATTTATCATGCATTAGTTGTCGGTAGATCATCAAATTTTAACACTTGAGACTCTCATAGACGGTTCAACTAGTTTTACCCAATTTGGATATTTTCATTAATTAGCGGATAAGAAAGTATTAATTCCGTTCTTTCTTCTACCACTAGACCTGGACAACTTGATAAATATTTCAGAATCATTAATAATATTTTATTTACAAACTCGGATTATATATGTTTTTTTGCCTTTCTGTACATATACTAATACGTATATCTTTATCAGTTGTGTTGAATTGATATAATTTATTATAGAGTTTCAACGTAAAAGTCAAAGGAAACGTCGTTTTTCATCCAAGCAATCCTGTTTTAAAAGCATGCAGTTGAAGGTTTTTTTTTATTTCATTTGAAAAACTTTTTTTTTAATATTTGAATATATCACTTTTAGAAATTGAAAGAAGAAAATAAAGTAATACATTTTAAAAGCCTTACCTAAACATTCTGCTGCAACAGTGAAAAACACAAGGAAAATTTACTATAATAATAGTGTAATCCGTCATCCTCTCCATATACACTTGTTACTCGTAACACAGAATTCCAACTGTTTTAAATGTTACAAATAAAAGAAAAGGCAAAGAACAAGGAAAATATGTCATTCAGCAACCTGTAATTATCTGAAATTTGAAACAAGGAAAACATTGAAACTTTTTATAACAAATCAGTCAAACCTAAGGTAGACAGTCAGTATCGTGGATCGATAGTTTACCCACAATGTGTATCCTTCTTTACACATGACAAATACTATTGCTTTTGAAACAGATGGTAATCAGTGGTTAATATATTCCATAACTATGCAACTGTAAAAACTTCCTATAAGACAGTATTTTTCTTCAATCAAATGGTTCTATTCCTAAACGAATTAGGAAGTTCCAATTCAGTTACTACATTATCCTTATAAGTACAAACTCTAAATATATTATATCCTTAAGTTAAATTTTCTATAAACAAACTCTTGAGCACCATATTATCTGAAAGGAAAAGTGGTACAGTGATGATGAGAAACATTGATGTGTACAGTGATAATAAACAATAATCTTAGGAGGTTCTATTTATTCAATATATTACTGGTTACTCTGTAATTTTTAGTAGGAGATGTCTTTGTTAAACTTAAAAAATTACTGGAAAGTTGTTTGATTACAGTAAAAACATTATGTATCTTGAAACCTTCCATTCCCGTTCATTTCAGTGTTTTTTTTAATATCATTTGAAATTTAACTATACTTTTGCACATGAAATAAAAAAAAGCTGTTTGGGTTTATCATTCTGTAACCAATTAGATTGATGTTAAAATATAACGTGATAAAAATATTAAAACCATCTAAACTTATTAATGAATAACCTACAGAAATCGTTTTTTAAGTAAAGAAGAATCGATGTCTGGGAGCAAGTTTTAATCATATATAATACAGAAAATAAAATTTTCCAATGTTGATTAGCATTCCCTTACTTATGCAGCAATATACCTTCATCACATGCTTATTACAATCATGCAAACAGTTTGAATGCCTGATGTCCAGGAGTAAAGTAGACGATTTTTAAAGATGCATTAATTTTAGTGGTTTTGGCTCCACCCCTCAAACCTCAAGGGGGGGGGGGGGGGGGGATCATGAAATTCACACCTTTTGTTTCCTTTAACGCATAGATGCTTTGTGCCGAATGTGGTTGAAATCGGTTCCGTGGTTGCAGAGAAGATGCTGAAAATGTTCAAACGTTAACGCACGACCCACGACGCACGACGACGGACGAAAATGGATAGCAATAGGTCACCTGAGGAAAATTTGAGAAAACAAATGAAATAGATTTTCATATTTTATTGAATATGGAAATACAGGTCATAGAAAACATTTGATTGTCGTTCATAATTTCTAATAAACACAGGTGATATCAAGCTAAAGTAACGTCATGATGAGTTCACTGAACTATTTGTCTCCAGAGAGTTCTTCATTGATGTAGAGGTGCATTTCTTGATAATGAGAACCGTCTGATTGGTGATTTATCTTTTGATAGGTTTTATTAACGATCGTTTCAGCTGCATGTATTTGATCGTAAATCTTTCCAGGCATAATTTCTGCTGTGAGCATTCCCGTTCATTTCAGTGTTTTTTTTTTTTTAATATCATTTGAAATTTAACTATGCTTTTGCACATGAAATAAAAAAAAGCTGTTTGGGTTTATCATTCTGTAACCAATTAGATTGATGTTAAAATATAACGTGATAAAAATATTAAAACCATCTAAACTTATTAATGAATAACCTACAGAAATCGTTTTTTAAGTAAAGAAGAATCGATGTCTGAAATTGAAGTTTTAATCATATATAATACAGAAAATAAAATTTTCCAATGTTGATTAGCATTCCCTTACTTATGCAGCAATATACCTTCATCACATGCTTATTACAATCATGCAAACAGTTTGAATGCCTGATGTCTAGGAGTAAAGTAGACGATTTTTAAAGATTGCATTAATTTTAGTGGTTTTGGCTCCACCCCTCAAACCTCAAGGGGGGGGGGGCAGGGATCATGAAATTCACACCTTTTGTTTCCTTTAACGCATAGATGCTTTGTGCCGAATGTGGTTGAAATCGGTTCCGTGGTTGCAGAGAAGAAGCTGAAAATGTTCAAACGTTAACGCACGACCCACGACGCACGACGACGGACGAAAACGGATAGCAATAGGTCACCTAAGGAAAATTTGAGAAAACAAATGAAATAGATTTTCATATTTTATTGAATATGGAAATACAGGTCATAGAAAACATTTGATTGTCGTTCATAATTTCTAATAAACACAGGTGATATCAAGCTAAAGTAACGTCATGATGAGTTCACTGAACTATTTGTCTCCAGAGAGTTCTTCATTGATGTAGAGGTGCATTTCTTGATAATGAGAACCGTCTGATTGGTGATTTATCTTTTGATAGGTTTGATTAACGATCGTTTCAGCTGCATGTATTTGATCGTAAATCTTTCCAGGCATAATTTCTGCTGTGAGCTTTCCTGTATCCTGGTTTCTCTGTTTTATTTTCTTGTATACAAGTTTTACCACTGCATATATAAGGGTTACGACAGCAAGTGTTGAAACAATGTATATAATTCCAGTTGAAGTGTTTGAAGTGCCACCATCTGTAAAAAAAAGAGATGCATTATTCCATCATTATATGATATAACGCATTAACACAGAAATATGAAAAGTGAACAATTAGGTGAAATTGAATTTTTAAAAGATTAGGAAATAAAAACTATAATTTCCTTTACATTGACACTGAGAACCTTTTGGACAAAGTCCTGTTATGTTATTACAGATGGTCCCCGTGCTACATTTACCACAGCTGAATTCACATGCCTCACCGAAAAATCCGTTTTTGCACACTATGAAATACAGCAATGAATATGAATACTGTTTGTAAGTTTGAATTAGACAGTTTTGATAGCAGGACATAAATGACTTACATTTACATATTAGAGATACATTTTTATATTAAATATTTTGTGTTTTTTAGCCATTTTGTCATTAACAAAACTGCATAATAAATTTATGACAATTTGTGTTTGTTTTATATAACGGCTAAATATAAACTTTATTGCATTTGTATTTGACGAGATAAAAAAACGAATTAACCTACATGTACCTTATAATTAGCATTTTAATTTTAATAAGCAATATATGAGTGCCTATAACATAGAACTTATATGCATTTTCATAATTGGTGCCACATTCATTTATTAGTAAATATATTACCTAAACACTTTGAGTTATTCCAATTACCCCGACAACCCTCCGGACAGACTCCACTCGTCTTGTTACAGAACGTACCGATTTTACAAAATCCACATTTCTTTGTACAGTCTGTTCCATAAAATCCATCTTTGCATTCTTCAAAAGAAATTTGTTTTTTTTTAGAGAAACAAATACTAAGTAATTTAAAGGAATGTTTTGATTATATAAATTTAATTCCTGCTGTTTGTGACATTAAATGAATGAAATATAAAGATATCTGGGAGCGAATACTCACTAGTAACATGTATAACCAGGCTCTACATTTGAATATTCACTCTCATGTGAATACACACATGCACAAATACAATCCATACATTTGAAATGCTTACACAAAAAGTATGCTAAAATTTTTACTGCAAATTTAATTTGGGAGAGAAGAAACAGATAATCAGGGAGAAAGCAGTAGATTTGCACAAACATTAATTCCCTCATATGACATGCCTAGCAAAGACTGTGTTTGAAGGATTTTATTCGGTAATGACGAGTATTTGCCGCCAAAATAAAACTTTTGACGGAGAAATATACAATTATGCTATAAACAGGGGGATATCTGCTCTAGACTTCAAATCATCATTTTTAATAGCATTGGAAACAAGTGTTTTATATGACGTCAGAAAAATGACGTAAATTTAAAAGTTACACGATTTCTACAGAAAAAGATGTATTCACGTTGAAATTTTGAGTGAAAGTCAACGAGCGCGGGTCTGCTACTTTTTAATTTTTTGATATTATTTTTAGCATGATAATAGTGATGTAATATGTAAATACTGTTCTGGAGCAGGTCTGTATTCTATACATTTTATAGTAAAAGTTAAGGAAAATTTGCTCATTTTTTTTTTTTATCTGAAAAAAATATAACAAAATCCGAATAGTTTGTGACGTCATCAACAATATATAAACATTCAATATTTCTTGTAAATGCAGCAAATAATGATCAATTTAAAATAATCTATTTTTAAAAATCTGAACTTTTAAGATTGCATCAACGAGGATCGTCGGGAATTAACCTCAATGAAAATAAAGCAATTTATAACAATAAGCCTTGCATACAAAGACTATATTGTTATAAACCTTTTTCGGCTGGAAACATATCATATTGTTTAAAGGAATATTAATAGTTCTTTGATTATCTCCGAGTTTGTAAAAACGGAGTGATAGAAACTTGATTCTAGAAGTAAAATTAGAAAGATATAATTCACCAAAAATGACGAGTTTATCAACTGGGCTCTTTTTCAGCGTTTAGTATTGAGAATTATGTATTCGAGCGATTTGATTAATAGAATTATCTTTGAGATGAAAAATATTTTCGATTTTTTAACTAATGTGCAACGGTTTTACTCTTAAACACTCAGATTTTGATTTGTTACTCAAGTTACTGTGTCAGGGTAAATGTCTCTGATACTTGTAGCTTATCAAAAACCCTGGACAAATATTATTAAATAAAATAATGCATTTTCTGCGAAATATGCAAAGTAAAGAATGGCGTTGAATTAAATTTAATTGCCGAAAGATTAGGAATATAAACTATAAAAATGATTCCCTTTACCTTGACACTGAGAACCATTCCAATGATCTTCACACCCTTTTGGACATATCCCTGTTATATTACTAAAGGAGGTCCCCGTGCTACATTTGCCACAGTTGAATTCACAGGCTTCACCATAAAATCCGTTTTTACACTCTGAAATTGAATATTGAATACAGTACTGAAAATGAAAATGTTGTTTGACTTTCACAGTTTTGAGGATAGGCTATAAGGACTATCCT